TCATAAGAGGAGAGAGAGGGTCAGAGAAGGGTCAGCCCTGTGCGGGGAGCAGGCCTGTGGGCAGTTGCCTCTGGACTAGTGAGTCCAGCCTCAGCCTCGATTTTGGGGTGTGGGGAGCCGGCTCTGTGTAACGGGGTCTGGGAATGGCCTGGGAGAGACACTGATTCGCCTCCAGCTGGATCCCAGGCAGAGACAGTAACGCATCCCACTGGGCTCAGAGCACAGGGTACTTAAGCTGGGCCTTGGGTGCCCCCACTGAGCTAGGATGCTGCCCGCTGCTCTGGCAGAGTCCAGAGGGGATCGGGAGGCAGAGGTGACACACAGGGCCATGGCCACCTCAGCAAGGAAGGTGACGTGGCACCGCCTGCACCGAGGCTCCCCCATCCTGACCTCACATGGCCCGGGCGTGGGCACTGTAGACACCCTGTCGTAGACAGTTACTGTGAGAAATGCTCACCTGTCCCAATTCTAATGACACTCAGAGCCAGAGTTCGGTGAAAGGAGACCTGAATGTGCTCTCCAGAGCGGGTGTCCGCCCGGCTGTACAGACACCCCCAGGACGGGAACACCGCCCCTTTGTCCGGCCCCTCCTCCGGCTCCTCATTGGCTGAGTACTCTGGGCTCACCTGTTTCCTGGCATGTCCACTGTCTACTAGGTCCTCCCATTTGGCCCTTTATGAAAATTGGGCTGACGGGTCAGGAGTGGCCAGGCCCTGAGCAGCAGCTGCCAGTCTGGGAGCAGCCAGGCCCAGAGCGGCAGGGCCTGGAGCAGCCGGACCCAGAGCAGCCGGGTCGGAAGTTGCCAGGCCCGGAGCAGCAGCTGCCAGGCCTGGAGCAGCCGGGCCCAGAGCAGCCGGGCCCAGAACAGCCGGGTCGGGTGCAGCCAGGCCCGGAGCAGCAGCAGCCAGGCCAGGTGCGGCCAGGTCGGGAACTGCCAGGCCCGGAGCGGCTGGGTCCGAAGCAGCCGGGCCCAGAGCAGCCGGGTCGGGAGCAGCCAGGCCTGGAGCAGCAGCTGCCAGGCTGGGAACGGCCAGGCCCGGAGCGGCCGGGCCCGGAGCAACCGGGCCCAGAGCAGCCAGGTCGGGTGCACCCAGGCCTGGAGCAGCAGCAGCCAAGCCCGGAGCAGCCAGGTTGGGAGAGGCAATGGCCAGACCTGGAGCAGCTGGTTGTGGAACGGACCAGAGCAACAGAGGCCAGGCCCGAAGCAGCCAGGCCCGGAACAGCCAGGCCCAGAACAGCTCGCTCCTCGCCTGCCCCTGCCCCAAGGCTGCCTCTCAGACATGGCTGGAAACTTTTGGGGGAACTTGAGGGTCTGCTGAATCAAGTGAGGAAGGCTTAGATCTGGATGTGTTGAGTTAGTATAGTGCTGGGGTGTTGATCTGTGAGTGCCTTGTGTGGGGCCTGGATGAGGTTGGTTGATCTATTTGGAAGTGTCTTTTGTGTGAAGTGTATCCTTGGGCATGTGGAGGTATTATTGATTTGAGAAAATGCTAAGTAACTGATTTACTACCTGAAAAATTTAAAGTTCTGAAAGTTTAAGGTCTCTTGCCAAAAAGATGTTTTAAAGCTAACATCTTAATTTTAATGGAGAAAGGGAATGACAAGCCCTTCCCACCCAGAACAGGTAATCCAATTCCAACCAGCAGCTATGTTTAAACAATGTGTCCATTTACACTTGAATGGGTGTAGCCTAAGGGCAAGTTTACATGTAAACAAGTTTGCTCTCAATTCCCAGGGCAGAAAAAAAACAAGGTTTAAAATTATTAGATTTTAAAATTTATTCTTAGAAGTGTAAAAGTTTATTAATTAAAAAAAAAAAGAGATTGAAAAACCTGATAAACAATAATAGCTGTTCATTGTAGTAGAGTCGGCCATATGGGAGGGGAGTGGACTGACTGTTCTCGGGGAGAGGGAGGGAGGAAGAGACTGAACATAAACTGTGCACCTATGAATGAGGACAATAGGGGGTGGGGAGGGGGCGGAGGGTGGGGTGGGAACCTGGTGGAGGGGTAAAGAAATGAGGAACCTTTGTAATAATATGAACAATAAAGATTGATTTAAAAAAAAAAAAAGAAAGAAAGAAAGAAAGAAAGAAAGAAAGAAAGAAAGAAAGAAAAGAAAATTGGGCTGAGCCTTTTCTAGTTGCCTCCCTCCGCCTGTCTAGCCTGTACCTCCAGGGTGCCCACAATGATGCTGGCCCACGCCCACCGGTCCTTGGACTCACATCCTGGTCCCTCCCCCTGCCTTCTCTGTGCCTGGGGAGATTCAGCCACCGCTCCCATCAGAAGCTGACCGTGCTGGCCATTTCCTACAGTGCCAAGGCTCCAAGAGGGCCACGTGCCCCAGGCGGTGACAGCACGGACTCAAGCCCAGGTCTGAGACTCCAAAGCTCACAGTGTCAGCTCAGAGCGGGCTTGAGGGCTCAGAGAGAAGGTTTCTAATGGGGGTAGTGGGGGCGGGTGTATGGCAGGGACAGCTCCAGGGATCAGCAGACCACCCTGATGCACACGGTCCAGTGTTTCCTGGCCAGGCGGTGGGTACAGCGGGCAGTGTTGGTGCTGATCCTCCCTGCCCACCCTGCCCCATCCTTCCACCTCCCCCACCAGAGGTTCCCATCTCCCACCTCCCATGGCAGAACCACAGCATAGACCTGGACAACGAGGGCAGCCAGCCAGGGCCTGGGGGCTCTCAGGGCTCCAGCCCATCTACCCTCAAGACAGTGAGGCTAAACTGGTGACTGTGCGAGATGAGACCTCAGACCTCACAGCCCTGGGTTCCTCTGGGCCAGAGAGGAGCCAGGGGACAGGAATCAGCATGTTTATCCTGCAAACCCTCAGACCACGTGCCCCCAGAGCCTGGTCCTGGGTGACATGAAGCCTGAGAGGAGCTGCAGCTCCAGGTTGCCAGGGTTCAGCTGTGGCCTTAACTAAGCTGCATCAGAAATCCTTCCCTGTGGCTGGCTCAGCACGGCCAGGAGGGAACCTGAGAGGGGGCGGATATTAAAGTAGAGAGACAAGAGAATAAAGCTGGGCCCAGGTGGGACTGATGGAGACATAGTGCCACAGCCTGCAAGCCAAGTCTTTATTTTATATTCAGATTCCACCAGGCAAAGTGCTCAAGATGTTTACATTGTTCTCTTGGACTGGGAAAACTGAATTACATGCACCTGAACTCTATCAAGCTTTGTTTTGGCAGGGTGCACTTCCTGCAGCTTATCTCACTTAGCCACTGGGACGTCAACCACAGCCGTTGGCTATAATTGTGCTGGGAACTCTTTGCCCTCCAAGTGGGACTTGCACGTGGCTCTGCCATGAGAGGACCTGCCCTCTCATTAGTCTGAGGCTTGAACCAATCCAAACGCTATAGCCGCTCTCCACACTTCCCCAGACACAACGCTGCCAGAGAGGCCTTCCCAGGACAGGGTTCCCTGAGGCTTCCAATCAGGAAAGGAAGGCCCGGCCCCTGGAGGACAGGATGCAAAGTCCCCCCACAGAGGCCACTTGCCAGTACTCCCTGCCTCACCTTCCCAGTGGAAGGCTCTGATCTGCCCACAATCCCCCACTTAGTGCTGGTGGGTTCCCGTCTGAACTTGAAATCCAGGAATTCCTCCTGGGCAGCAGAAACCACACGCCCAGCCACACTCCCCTCTTCCTCCAAAGGCAGGCAACCCGTCCTGGTCAGGACTTGGTCCTTGGATGATTATTTTTTGAAAATGTGGGTAAACCCTAGCCAGTTTTGCTCAGCCTGAGGACTGAAGGGTTCCGGGTTTGATTCAGGTCAAGGGCACACGCCTGGGTAGAGGGCTCGGTCCCTGGTAGGGGGCATGGAGGAAGTATCCAATCAATGATTCTCCCTCATCATTGATGTTTCTATTTCTCACTCCCTCTCCCTTCTTCTCGGCAATCTATACATATACATATACATATACATATACATATACATATACATATACATATACATATACACATATCGAGATATATATATATATATATATATATATATATATCCTGTTTCCCCAAAAATAAGACAGTGTCTTATATTAATTTTTTCTCCCAAAGTTGGGCTAGGTCTTATTTTCAGGGGATGTCTTATCTTTCCATGCACTAGGTCTTATTTTCAAAGGATGTCTTATTCAGGGAAACGTGGTATGTATGTGAGTATATATATATATATATACACACACACACACACACACACACACACACACATATATATGTGTGTATGTGTGTGTGTATATATATATATATATATATATATATATATAATTTTTTTTACACCATCAAATATACAAAACTTAAAATACTCTAACCATCAAATATACACCATCAAATATACAAAACTTAAAATACTTTAACAATTTATAAGACTTCAATTTAGTGCTGCTCTGGGTCCCCACACCCAGTGCAGACTGCTCCCCAGTGGGCCCTCAGATCCAGGCTCACCACATGGCTGCCCAGGTGCACACAGCCCTCCCTGTCCCGGAAGCCACACGCCCATGCCCTGTGACCTCCCTTTGCTGAGGTCCGGAGCTCAGCTGGGGGCCAGGCAGGTCCTGGAGGGAAGCAGGCCCACTTCTCTGGGGGAGCCCAGGCCCTTGTAAAGGAGCCCCCATGCGGGGCCCTGTGCACCCAGCTGGGTCCCTGTCACTCTGGCCTGACCACCTGACCATTCCCGGTGACCGGCCCAGGTGCCCTGTGGGCACCAGGCACCCTGATCAGCAGGTCCTGGGCAAGGCTAACCATCCCAGCATCCGTGCACGTGTGTGTGTGTGTGTGTGTGTGTGTGTACCCACAATTGCATGTCCTTTGCCCTGAGCCTGGCTGGGAATGGTAGCTCTCCTGGCCACAGGTATACTGCCTGGAGGAAGCGGCAGAGAGAGGAGGAGGGGAATCAGCCACAGGCAGCTGCCAACCGCCGGCTCCCGGATGTCTCCCGGATGTCTCCCGCCCCATAAATACCCACATGCAAAGGCAGGGTCACCCGAGGTAGGCACACGCACCATGGGGCGGCCAGAGATGGCTGTCTTAGGCTTCGCCTGCTGCTTGGCAGGAGTGAGCGCAGCAAAGGTGAGAGCCCAGCGGACACGGCAGGGGGTCCTCGACTCCCCTAACCCGGCCTGGGACCTGGGCCGGCACCGAGGAGGGGGGCAGGCAGGTGGGGCGCTGACACAGAGAGCCCCCCAAGCCCATCACAGCCCAGCGCTTCCCTGGCCCTTCCTCTGCCTCCTGCCTTCCCGCTCACACGATGGCCCCGCAGCTGACAGCCAGGACGCCATGACCTCCAATGTCAGAGACCACAAGGAAGGGCTGGGCCAGGTGCTCTCCAGGGCACTCAGGGCACTTCCGCCAACACAAGCAAGGCTCCCTGCCCCCAGCCCCAGGTCCCTGTGTCCTCAGGGCTGATCTGGGCATCTGCCTGGGCCTCCAGGGCCCTGGCTCTCCCTCTGCCTGGGGATGGCCCTGGCCCGGCTCAGAAAGGCGCTGGGCCCTGAGCAGCCGCCAGTTTGCCCATCACAGCCCCAGCATCGGACCAGGAGTGTGGACCTTGATCTAGTTCATCCCGGAGCCCCATGCCCGGCCCTGAGAGGGGGTAACAACCACCTGCTTGCCAGTGGCCGGGCCCCTCCAGGGGCAGTGGGGAGCCTGGGGCACCTACAGGACCCCTTCCCTCAGGGCCCTGCCAGGGGTGAGGAGCGGGGCTTCCACAGGAACCCACAGCTGCAGGCAGGCCTGTTAGGGGCCCCACTTGGAGCCTGCTGGGGCAGCCCCACCCCGGTGGCCTCCCGCCCGCGCCCTGAGCCTGCCCTCTCCCCAGCTGGGCGTGGTGCACACGGAAGGGGGCTTCGTGGAGGGCGTCAACAGGAAGCTCGGCCTCTTGGGCATCGGCGGCCGCTCGGTGGACATCTTCAAGGGCATCCCCTTCGCCGCCCCGCCCCAGGCCCTGGAGAACCCCCAGCGGCACCCCGGCTGGCAAGGTGGGAGTGGGGGTGCGTGCTGGGCTGCCTCTGAGACTGGGGTCCTTGTGGGGCCACCAACCTCACGCCAGCCCCTCTGATCACCCACAGGGACCCTGAAGGCCAAGGATTTCAAGCCACGATGCCTGCAAATCACTGACAACCAGGACGACACCAAGGGCTCTGAGGACTGCCTCTACCTGAACATCTGGGTCCCTCAGGGCCAGAAGGAAGGTGCATCCCCCAACCCATGGCCTCCAGGTCCCCAGACCCGCAGAAATTGCCCAGGCAGCCAGAGGCCCAGCCCCACCCCTTGTTTGTATGGGCTCCAGGTCTGAAATCCCTGAAACAAGCACCCAGAGGGGATGGGGGGAACAGCTGGGGTCACTGGGTCTGCTTCCTGCCTCAGTTTCCAGAAACCTGCCTGTAATGATCTGGATTTACGGAGGAGGCTTCCTGATGGGGTCCACCCAAGAGCTAAACTTCTTCAACAACTACGAGTTTGAAGGGGAGGAGATCACCACTCTGGGCAACGTGATCTTGGTCACCTTCAACTACCGCCTCGGGCCGCTGGGCTTCCTCAGCACTGGGGACGCACACCTGCCAGGTGTGCCGGGGCCTGGAGCTGGGGTGAGGGAGCTGGTGGGGGCCCTTCAGCAACACTTTCTTCCAACAACTCCTGAGAGTCTCCCAGAAACACCCAGAATTCTCTTGGCAGCAAAGGAAGCTGGGGGTGGACAGTGAGACACAGAAGCAGGTGTAGCGAGAGAAGAGGCTGCCCACCAGCCAGGCAGGGACCCAGGGAGAACAGAGTCCAGGGAGCGCGGACAGGGACCCAGGGAGAGTCAGAAGATGACACACTGAGGAGGTGACTAAGCGGACTCAGAGCCGTAGGACAGATGGACAGCAGAGGGCCAGTGTCGGGGAGAGAGATGAGCAGCCTGGCCCTCCTGCTCCTGGTGCCCTACCTGAGCCCACACACCCTCCAGCACCGCCTTCCTCAGCCTCCTGGGACCTGCCATGCACCATCCTGGGCTTGGCAGGGGTCCCCACACGGAGGAAGCTCTCCCCACCCCAGTCCCTCATGGGCCCCCACCCGCCCCAGGTAACTTCGGCCTCCGGGACCAGCACATGGCCATCGCGTGGGTGAAGAGGAACATTGCGGCCTTCGGGGGGGACCCCAACAACATCAGCATAGTTGGGGAGTCAGCTGGAGGTGCCAGCGTCTCTCTGCAGGTCTGGGGTCGCTGGGATGGAGGATCTTCCTCTCACGGTGATGGTGGCGAGCAAATTGGGGGCTGATTGGGCTGGGGGAGCTGATGGGAACTGGGGGAGCTGATACTGTGGGAACAGCATGAAGCTGACAGTTTAGCTGTCCCTGCTGGCGACCGGGTGGACAGGAGAGGCGAGTCCCTGGTGACAGGACCTCTGTGTGTTGCAGACCCTCTCTCCCTACAACAAGGGCCTCATCCAGCGAGCCATCAGCCAGAGCAGCGTGGCGCTGTCCCCCTGGGCCATCCAGAAGGACCCTCTGTCCTGGGCCAAGAGGGTAAAGGGGAGCTGAGGTGGGGTTGGGGCTCAGTTTACCTCCTTTCTATGCCCTGTCCCAGTCTTCATGGCCATCTTCCCCCCCCAAATCCCCAGATCGCCAAGAAGGTGGGCTGCCCCCTGGATGATACCACCAAGTTGGCCAAGTGTCTGAAGGTCACCAACCCCCGGGCGCTGACGCTGGCCTATAAGATACCCCTGGTGGGCAAGCAGTGTGAGTGGGGCTCCCCCTGGGGGGTGACCATGCACCCAAAGAAGTGAGGATTGAGGGGCTGCTTTCTGGCCCGTCAGCTGCTCATGGCGTCCTGGGAGCCTGCTGCCACCTGGGTCCCTGTCACCTCCGTGGCCTCGATCGGCTGTGCCTCAGACGCCATCCCTCCCTCTGATCCTCCCTGGGCCCTGACCCCTTTGGGAAGCTGGTGCACCTTGTCCCCAACAATGGGCAGAAACAGTCATTTGCACCCACTTTCAGGGACCTCAGGCCCAGTGCTGTCAGCGGGCCAGAGTGGCCCAGGGAGCCTGTGGCAGTGTGCACACAGTCTGGCTGCCACACCGGGCAGAGGTGGCATCGGGCGGAAGGGGCCAGGAGAGCTGCTCCACATGCCAGGGCAGCCCGGGACATAGAATGATCCGGGCCCATGTCAGGGGGACAGGCTGGGGACCCGGGTCTGGATCAGGGTTAGACAGGGGCTGCCCCGGACCTGGGGCCTGGAAAGGGGCTCTGGAAGGTGCGAGGACCCCTGCTCTCCACTCAGACCCCATAGTGAACTACCTGGGTCTCGTGCCTGTGGTGGACGGAGACTTCATCCCCGATGATCCCATCAACCTTTACGCCAACGCTGCCGACATCGACTACATGGCTGGCACCAACAACATGGATAGCTACCAGTTTGCCAGCATTGACCTGCCGGCCATCACCGTGGACGAGCTGACCATCACGGGGTGAGCAGCATGCAGACTAGGGCAGAGCCGGAACGCCTATGTGGAGGCATCAGCTGAGGGAGGAGGCCAGGAGCAGTAGCGGGCCATGTGCAGGCCCCTAGCAGGGGGGGTGAGGATGCCTCCTGCTGGCCCGGGTACAGGGTCCAGTGCCGGCTTGTCCCTGCAGGGAGGACTTCTACAAGCTGGTCAGAGGGCTCACCTTCGCCAAGGGGCCCAGAGGTGCCAACGCCACCTTTGACTTCTACACGGCGCCCTGGGCCCAGGACTCCTCCCAGGAGGCCAAGAAGAAGACGGTGGTGGACTTAGAGACCGACTTTTTCATCCTGATGCCCACGAAGATGGCCGTGGCCCAGCATAGATCCAACGCCAAGTGAGGGCCTGGGCAGGGGAGGCCCATCTGGGTCACCCACTGCCCAAGGAGGACTCCCAGGGGTGGCACAGGGCATTAGGGAGGCTGGGAAAGCCAGAATGGGGTCTCAGTGGTGCCTGCACCATCTGCCTTGCCCAGGCCTGAGGAGACTTGAGAAGGCCCCTCCTCACCTCCCAGCTCAGCAGCCTTTACAGCGCTCTCCTCCTGTTACTGGGAAACCCCAGGGTGGGCTGGAGCTGCCTGTCCCTGTGTCCAATAAGGAAGGCTGGATGGAATCCTTGAGGCATTTATTGACAAGGCCATCCAACCAAGAAGGCATTCAAAATCCTGTCTTCCAGCAGGTGCAGGGACAGGACTACGAAGGTGAAGGTGCTGGGGTGCTACGTGCAGCTCTGTGGGTCCACAGACTTTAGCTATTATAGTCATCACATGATGAGATGATGTGGGTGAGATGATGTAGAGGAGATGATGGTGTGGAGGAGATGATGTTTGACTCCTGATGGGTCTGTCTGTCCCTGCTTGTCAGTTCTGATTGCTGGATGCACAGCTGAGTCACCTCCTAAGTGCTTGCACAGGCCTTCAAGGGAAATTTAAGAAAACTTAACCCCTATTCACCTCAGTATACATGTTCTAAGACTGACTGATAGGGCTCCTTTCCAGGTTAATTCAGGTGCTCTGTCCACCAGGTTGTAAGGCCCCCGTTCACTCAGCCCACAGGCTCCCCTGCAGTGTCTGCAGCGCCCCCACAGCCTCCAGGCTCAGGGGACAGAACTCAGGCTGATGCTCTCTGATGGGTTTGCTATTTGCCAACATTCAAAACAACTTTCGCCAGTGGCCACCTAGCCAACCTCCAGGAAAACAAAATTAAGTTAGGAATGTTTACACGGAAGGCAGAGATGCTACCATCCGATGAGGAACACACATTCATGTGCAGAGAAAAGGAAGGAAGATGCCTCCGTAGGCTTTGCGGAGGGAAGAGTGAATGCACCTGAAATCCCAGAACCACAACCCACGGCCTTCCCTTCCGGAGTGCAAGGCTTTTCCTTCCGGGTGCAGGGTCCCTCCTGAGTCCGAGTCAGGGGATTTCCCGGCCCCGCCCTGTCCTCCTCTTGGCCTCACTCCAGGGCCCAGCTCTTGGTAGGCAGCCAGGCAAGGCTGCCTGCCAACCTGGGCCGTGTCCTTCCCCTCCTCAGGAGTGCCCGGACCTACACCTACCTGTTCTCCCACCCCTCTCGCAATCCATTCTACCCCAGCTGGGTGGGCGCCGACCATACTGATGAGCTCCCATATGTGTATGGGAAGCCTTTCGCCAACCCCCTGGGCTACCGGCCACAAGACAGGACTGTCTCCCAAACCATGATCGCCTACTGGACCAACTTTGCCAGGACTGGGTAAGGCGGGGTGAGGCTGGGCCAGGCCTCCTGCCACCTGGGCCCCACATGCCTGTCCCTGGTCCTACACTTCACCTCCCTGAGCCTCAGTACCCCCATCTGTGTGTGAGGATAGAGCTACTGGTTGGACACAGAATACGTACGTGCCCAGCCAGTGCCCAGGACACAGTGAGGTGCCCTGGTGGTTCGGGTCAGCATGGAGGCCTCCCCTGAGCACTCAAACCCACACAACCTTCCTCTCCTGTGCAGGGACCCCAACAAGGGGCACTTGGCTGTGCCCACCCAGTGGGAGCCCTACACCCAGGAAAACGGCAACTACCTGGAGATTAACAAGAAGATGGACGGCCAGTCCCTGAAGCAGCACCTGAGGAGCAGCTACCTGCAGTACTGGACCCAGACCTACCAGGCCCTGCCCACCGTGAGCAGAAACAGGACCGGACCTCCGCCGCCTTTGGATGACTCTACGGCCTTTCCTTGAGCTCCCTCTGCTGACTCCGAGGGCGCTCAGCTGTGCAGCCATGGGCTTCTAATGTCCTTGCCCAGGAGGCCAAGGGTGGGACCCAGGGAGCCCACCTCCCGCCCAGCTCTTCCCGAATAAAGACGCATCTCTCTCTGGCGACCCGCGTTGCCCTCATGACCTCAGCCACCACACAATCTCTGCCCAAGTCCGGCTCCGGAAGTGGATGTCCCCCTTCCCCCATTTAGGAGGAGGATAGAGTGTCAGGGAAGGGTCAGCCCTGAGTGGGGAGCAGGCCCCGTGGGCAGTTGCCTCTGGACCAGTGGGCCCAGCCTCAGCCTCGATTTCGGGGTGTGGGGAGCGGGCTCTGTGTAACGGGGTCTGGGAATGGCCTGGGAGAGACACTGATTTGCCTCCAGCTGGATCCCAGGCAGAGACAGTAATGCAACCCGCTGGGCTCAGAGCACAGGGTATCTGGGCTGGGCCTGGATGCCCCTGGCTCGGCCAGGGTGCTGCCCGCTGCTCTGGCAGAGTCCGGAGGGGAGCGGGAGGCAGCGGTGACACGCAGGGCCATGGCCACCTCAGCAAGGAAGGTGACGGGGCACCACCTGCACCGAGGCTTCCCCATCCTGACCTCACATGGCCCGGGCGGTGGGCACTGTGGACACCCGTCAAAGACAGTTACTGTGAGAAATGCTCACCTGTCCCAATTCTAATGACACTCGGAGACAGAGTGCGGTGAAAGGAGATCTGAATGTGCTCTCCAGAGCGGGTGTCCGCCCGGCTGTACAGGCACCCCCGGGGCGGGAACACCGGCCCATTTGTCCAGCTCCTCATTGGCTGAATACTCTGGGCTCATCTGTTTCCTGGCATGTCCACTGTCCAATAGGTCCTCCCATTGGGCCCTTTAAGAAAATTGGGCTGAGCCTTTTCTAGTTCCCACCATTTTCCTGTCTAGCTGAGTCCTGAGTCTAAACTGGTGACTGCCTGAGACGGGACCTCAGACCTCACAGCCCTGGGTTCCTCTGGGCCAGAGGGGATCCAGGGGGCAGGAATCAGCACGTTTATCCTGCAAACCCACACTCACCTGGGACTCCTCAGACCACGTGCCCCCCGAGCAACAGGGGCGGTCCAGGCCTGGTCCCGGGTGAAATGGAGCCTGTGAAGAGCTGCAGCTCCTGGGTCCCAGGGCCCAGCTGTCACCTTAAATAACCTGCATCACAAATCCTTCCCTGTGGCTGGCTCAGCCGGCCCGGGGTGAATGTGATGGGGACAGGGAAGGATTAGAGAAGACAGACAAGAGAATAAAGCTGGGGCCAGGTGGGACGCTGCTCTCTGATGGAGAGACAGTGCCACATCCTGCAAGCAGATCTTTATTTTATACTCAGATTCCACCAGGCAAAGTGCTCAAGATGTTTACATTGTTCTCTCAGATTTCAAATCTACTCAATTACATGCACCTGAACTCTATCCATCTTTGTTTTGGCAGCACTTGCTGCACCGCCACAGCCTATATCACTTAGCCAAAAGGGAACACAGGTTCGGACCGTAAGGTCAGGCTTACATCCAGAGCCGTTGGCTATAATGTGCTGTGAGGGCTTTGCCCTCCAAGTGGGACTTGCACGTGGCTCTTCCATGAGAGGACCTGTCCTCTCATTGATCCAAGACTTGAACCTGTCCAAACGCTGTAGCCGCTCTCCACACTTCCCCAGACACAACGCTGCCAGAGAGGCCTTCCCAGGACAGGGTTCCCTGAGGGTTCCAATCGGGAATGGAAGAGGCGGCCCCTGGCGGCCAGGATGCGAAGTCCCCCACAGTGGCCACTTGCCAGTACTCCCTGCCTCACCTTCCCAGTGGCAGGCTTTGATCTGTCCACAATCCCCCATTAGTGCTGGTGGGTTCCCGTCTAAACTTGAAATCTATGAATTCCTCCTCCTGGGCAGCAGAAACCACACGCCCAGCCACACTCACCTCTTCCTCCATAGGCAGGCAACCCCGTCCTGGTCAGGAGTTGGTCCCTGCAACTGCTGTTTTTTAAGAATTGGGGTAAAGGGGATGGCCCGTGGTGGGGGGAAGAGATCTAGCAAAGGACTTGTATGTGCACATATAAGCATGACCAATGGACAAAGAGAGTAGGGAGGCGGGGACATGTGCTGGGGGACAGGGAGTGGCTGGGGAGAGGTCAATGGGGAAAAGAGAGACATGTAATACTTTCAAGCATAAAGAATTTAAATTTTTTAAAAAATTGGGTAAAGTATACATAACGTAAAGTACTCCGTTTTAACTTCTAAGGTGGCATTAATCGCAGTCACATTACTGTGCAGCCATCGCACTCCCTATTTCCATTCTGTTCATCACCCAGAGACTGTACCCTTCCCCAGCAACCCCCTCCCCCACTCCTGCTAGCCTCTTCCGTTTCCTCTATCAATCTGCCTTAGATAATCCTTTTTTTATTGATTTTTGTCTTTCTTATATTCTTATTGAATTCAGAGAGGGAGGAGAGATAGAAACATCAACGATGAGAATCATGGATCGGCTGCCTCCTGCACACCCCCTACTGGGGATGAAGCCCACAACCCGGGCCTGTGCCCTTACAAAATCGAACCGCAACCCCCTGATTCATGGGTCGATGGTCAACCACTGAGTCATGTCGGCTGGGGTATTGATTATTTTATTTTACTTTATTTTTTAAAATTTTTTTAATTTTTATTTTTTTTATAAATTTTTATTGTTCATATTATTACAAATGTTCCTCCCCCCCCTCCATCGCTCTCCTCCACCAGGTTCCCACCCCACCCTCTGCCCTTTCCCCACCCCCCACTGTCCTCATCCATAGGTGCACAGTTTATGTTCAGTCTCTTCCCACATCCCCCTCTCCCCTTTTCCCCGAGATTCCGTCAGTTCACTCCCCTTCCAAACCTCTGATTCTATTATATTCAACAGTTACTATTGTTCATCAGGTTTTTTCATTCCCTTGGGTTTTTTTTGTTTTTTTTTAATTGGCTTCCAAAGGGGAGTTTAAGGTCTCTTCTTTAATTGATTTTTATTTATTTTTTTAGAGAGGTAGGGAGAGAAGCGTCCATGTGAGGGAGACAGGGGACCACCAGGGTAGTTGTCAGACCCCCGTCTCTGAGAGGTGGTCCTGGGCCCTGTGAACGCCTGTGCCCTGTCCCGCCCGGGGCCTGAGGGGGGGCTCCTCTCACTGCCCAGGTCCACGATGCCCCACACACCCTGTGGAAGGCAGAAGGGGGGAAACGGGGGAAGGGGTGTCTGTGAAAGCCAGAGACGGCTGCCCATCTGCCTCCTGCAGAGAAGCCCACCGCCCCCACAGCTTCTTGTCTGAACACAGATGGACGACTGCAGGTCATTTAGAAGCGCACAGATGTGTCTGGACGGCCTGGCTAAGGGGTCACAGGTTTGATTCCCAGTCAGGGCACAGGCCCTAAGTTGTGAGTGCAATCCCCAGTGGGGGGGTGTGCAGGAGGCAGCTGATCCATGATTTTCTCTCACCATTGACGTTTCTCTCTCCCTCTCCCTCCCTCTCTAAAGTCAATAAAAATATATATGTTTGTTTTTTTTTAAATAAAGGAGCACAGGCAAAAGAACAAAAGTGTCTTTCCCGGGCTATGGTAGAAACAGGGTTTTAATATAATATCCAAGTCTAGCATTTACTATTTACAACAAATAAATATTGCCCCTCCCCCACTGGTAAACATGATTTTTGCCTTTTATACAAATGTTCAACCTCCTCCCTTCCCCCATCCTCCTCCCCCACTTCTCCCCGGCCCGTGTGGTCCTGGGAAGCCCAGGTGCAGCGGCAGACGGCACTCGGGCGGGGCCGGGGGCCCGCGGGGCTGGTCCCACGTGCAGGTGCCCAAGTCCCTCCCGCACTCCGTGCCTGACGGCGGGTCTTGGGTGCGGCCTGCGGAAGGCTCAGGTGGTGGAGGGGCCGGGCCCCGTGGATGGCACAGCCGGTGTCCGTGGCGCGAAGAGCCGCAGTGGCCAGATCCAGTGGATGACCGGGTGCCCTGGGCTGCCCGTGGGCACCGGTGGCAGTGACCACACCGGGAAGGTGTGAGGGCGGTGTGGTGAGGGCGTGCCCGTGGCGGGCGGTGCTCCTGGGCGACGTTGGACAGTCCTCTGGCTCCGGAGAGGGGAAGGCACCTATGGCGGCCGGGTCAGCCTGGTGACGGGCAGGCGTCAATCCCGGCAGCGGGGGCTCCGGGGAGGAACCGGAGTCGGGGAGGGCGGCCCGGGGCAGGCTGGGCAGACGGTGCCTGGCCTGGGCCACTGTCGTCCGTAAGTGCTCGGTGGCCCGGCCAACCCGAGCCGGGCCGGCGGGCAGCCCCGCGGCCGGCAGCCCGGGCACCAGCTAGAAGATGCCCTTGGCAAGGCGGAGCCCCTTCTGCTTCACACGGGGCAGCGTGGAGCTGGCGCCGTGCCGGACCTTGGCCCCCTTGGCGAAGGCCCGCCTCTTCAGGACAAAGTCGTAGTTGGCGGTGGAGTTCATGGCGTAGAACACGTTGGCGTTGTCCGGGATCTTCAGCTCTGGCCGGGGACGAGGGGGGTCAGTGTGAGAGACCCCGGGACAGGCTGGGCTCAGCCCCGAGGCCTCCACACCGCGAGGACCACCGGGGGCCCACCGGGGACACCGCGATGGCCGCCTGGCCCATGGACCTAGCGAGTCCTCCCCACAGAGGGCCTGGCTCCACGGCCGCCTCTGGAGCAGGGGAGGGTCACCCCGCTGCCCCCCGCCCGCTGCCTTCGCTGGCCAGGACCTCACGCAGGAACAGGTCCTGTGGACCCCAGACCACCGCCCAAGCCCCGCCCTGCTCAGCACAGGAGCGCGGGCCCAGCGCTGTGCCACTGGGGGGGGGGGGGGGGCGCCGGGGCGGGGGGGGGGGGCGGGCACCCCCAAGCCCTGACGCTTGGCTCCTGTTCCCACCGCCCGGCTGGCCCGGAGCCTGTTGGGCCCCACTGCCCACTGGAACCCGCGCCCGCTGCCCCGTGTGGCTCCCTGGGTCCTTCCCCTGTGTCGGCCTCGCATCTCACATCGCGGAGACCATGCAGGAAGGAGAGGGGCCTGGCTGACGGTCGGGCTCGTGCGGGGAGAGGGTGAGCAGCTGGGGCAGAGGCGTGGGGGTGTTTATAAGGCACCCGGTCTGCGGTGGTTGGTGACACGTGCGAGTGGATATAACATACTCCCCATCCCAGCCAGAAAGTGCCCGGCTGGCTGCGGGCCCAGCCGCACGGGGGGAGTAAGAGGCAGGAGAAAACACGGGTGTCCAGGCCCGGCCAGGAGCAGGTCGGTGTGTGCGCGCAGCCTCCCCCGCCCCCTGCTGGTGGGAGTCCGAGGGGTGGGCCTGGTGCCGCTCCCGCCACCGCGGCCCCTCCCCCCTCCCCCACGGCCCCTCATCCCCGGTCCACATACTTCTCTCGTCCGAGATGACCTGCACCAGCTCGTAGTGCTCCGGCTGCTCCTCGTCCAGGTGGTGCTTGTCCATGGCCTTGCGGATGACGGCCGGGGCCTTGTCCTGGCTGGTCACCTGGATGGGGGTGGGGAAGGCGTCAGGGGGCGCGGCCAGGGCCCTCCGAGCCGCCCCACACCGCGCACAGGGGCTCCCCGCCTCCCCGGGGAGGCCTGGCCATGAGGAGGGGTCTTTCCCAGTTGTTCCTGCTCCCCCTCCTCTCACGAGCATGCACCTCCCCCACACTAACTGCCCTGGGAAACTAACTGCCCCTCCACGGCAGCATCCACGTGGCTGGGGCCAGAGTGCCCTGGAGGCCGGAGCCACAGGCCGACCCCTGCTGTGTCCGCCCCGAGCGCCAGAGCGCAGCACTTTCAGACACAGGTTTTCCGGCGACTGTGGCACGGGGCACCCTACCCGGGGGTGGGGTGAGGCGGGGACCCCCACAGGTCAGTCCCGCTGGCTCGGTCTCAACCTTCCAATTCTTCGCAGTGTCTGATCGCTGGCCTTCCCCCTCCCCGCCGGCTACCAGCCGGGCACCAGCCCATCCCCCGGAGATGGTCCTAGGTCTCTGCCCCCCTCGGCTCCAACCTCCGGGGATTCCCGTCTCACCCCCGACACTTCCCTGACCCTGCGCCCTGCTCCCTCACCTCCGGCCTGCTCGCTGCCCCTCCAACCCCTGGGGACCCCTCCGTGGGACACCGCCCGGTGCTCCCCGAGACCTGGGCCCTGGCTGTGACGGACGCCTCCTGCCCTCATCCGATCGCCACGCCCGCCCTGCACTCCTCCTGCCTGGCCCGCCGGAGGGAGGCGGGACGGACGGGCGCCCGGGCCCGTGCCGCCGGCTGGCGGGTGGCGCGCGGGCCGCTCACCAGGACGCTCTTGTACATGTTGCCGTTGTCCACGTCCAGGCTGACCCGGATGATGCAGCAGTCGCCCACCTGCTGGTTGTAGAGCGGCAGCGAGGCGCCGTGGCCGCTGACCCCCGAGACGGAGCGCTTGTGGGCGCGGGCGCTGGCCACGGGCGTGGTGGAGGCCGAGGAGGAGGAGGCGCTGCTGGACGCCGAGCTGATGCCGGAGGTCTCCGGGGACGACTGCATGGCCGCCTCCCAGAACTGCAGGGACGGCAGGGTCAGCAGCGGCCCCGGGCCTGGGGCTGCGAGGGGGCTTCTGGCCCCTTGGGGGGGAGGGGAGACACTGGGACCGGAAGGCAGGGGCTGCGAACGGCGGGCCGTCACCTTCTTCTCCTGGCCGTCGGGGGACTCCGGGACGAAGCTCATGGTGATCTCCTCCACGTCGGAGCTGGAGGAGCCGGCCGAGTGCACGCTGAGCTTGTCGGCCATGTCCCCGCCGCCGAGGTAGGGGCTGCACCGGAGCTGGTCGCAGGACTTGGAGTGCGAGCTGCCGCCGGTGCTCAGCTCCGTGCTGGGGGCCTGGCGGCTGCAAGAAGGGCGCTGGGTCATGGGGGAGGCCTCCCCTGGGGCACACCCCATCCCTGCCCCCCACACGCCGCTCCAGGCACCCCGCCTGCTCAGGCCATGTGCCGCCATTTAGCATCAGAGGGCACGGAGGCCCCGTCACAGGGCTGCTGAGTGAGGAACTGGGATCTCCCTCCCAGCTGCCCGCCTCCCGCTCCCCGGGGCCCCCCAGCCCGGGCACCCACTCGCTCCAGCGCTTGACGATGGCCGTGCTCTTCCTGGCCTTCAGGGTGTTGCTGGCCGACTCGGAGGGGGGCTCCAGCTCACAGGACAGGCTGTAGCTGCGGGACAGGCGGCAGCTGTGAGCTCCCGGGCCAGGCTCCAGCCCCCTCCCGGCAGGTGCCAGCGGCTGGAGGGTGGGCAGGGCACCCAGCCACCTCGCCACCGGCCCCGGAGCCCGTGACGCGCCCGCCCCCGCTGCCTCACCTCTCGGCCTCGCTGAGTCGCGCCACGGCCCGGAACCAGGCCCCGAACTGGCCCTCGGGCTCGATGCTGTAGTTGTTGCAGGCGGACTGCAGCAGCTTGATCTGGGCGATCACTTCGAATTCCTGGGGCCAGAGGGGAGGGCCTGCGTGGGTGCAGGGTCACCTCCTCTTCTCTGCCCCGACCCAGGCCCGACCCCATCCTCAGCTGGGTTCCAACAGCCCCTCCCCGGGACTGTCCTGGACTCTCACTCCTGCTCCCCTCCTCCCCTCCTCCCCTCCTCCTCCCCTCCTCCCCTCCTCTGTGAGAGGCCCTCCCCTCTGGATCCAGCAGGAAGGGGGAGGCCAGGGCTCTGATTTCCAAAGTGAGGGCGGTGGCTGCTCACCTTCCTCCTCTTCTCGAAGTTGATCAGTCTCCCCTGCAAGGCAGACAGCCAACGCCCATCAGAACGAGTCCCCACGCCCAAGACCACCCGGGCCCCTCTCAGGCTGCACTACCGAGAGCGAACACCAGAGGGCAGGGCATCCCCACAAGCTTGGGCCTGGGCTGGGTCCTGGGAGCTGGTATGGGGAGACCTGACCACCCAGCCCCCCTCTCAGGCTGCACTACCAACAGCGAACACCAGAGGGCAGGGCGTGCACATAAGCTTGGACCTGGGCTGGGTCCTGCAGACGCAGGGACTAAACCCTCGGACAACACCCGCATGGCAACCACGTGCCCGACCTCGGAGGGGTGGCCTGCTCGCCCACGGGCACGGCTGGCTAACCTCGCCCTGCAGCTCTGAACCCCACAGCCAGGTGCTGAGCTGGTTCCCCACTGGGACACACAGGGGCCAGGGGCTGGGAGTGCAGGGCTGGCTGAGGGGCGCTCTCCTTGGGCTTCGGGCCCGCCCTGCCCCGCCCCGCCCTGGCTCACTCACATACAGGTAGTCCTTCATGGCCGTGTCCAGCATCACCAGGTCCGTGAGGAAGGTGCCCAGGTAGGGAATGGTGCCCTGGATGACACCCTATGACAGCGAGATGGGAGTGGTAAGTGGGATCCACGCACTCTCCTGGGCGCCCCCCCGGCCTCCGCTCGGAGCCCCAACCCCGGGCTCCCGCTCGGAGCAGCCTGGGGACCCTTAGGCGCTAATCCCCCTCCTAGTGCCCACGGACGCCACACCCTCAGGCGACCTCCCAGGCCTGGCATTTGGCAAGTCCCCAAGATGGCCGGGTCTCTGACTGCCTGCACCCCGCACCCCGAGTCCCCCAAGCCCAGCTCTCAGGGCCTCGCTCTGGTGGCGGGACCCCAGCTGGGGAGGGCATGGCCCGCGGGCAGGTCTCGGGCGGGTCAGGCACGATGGCCCCGCTGCCCCCGCGCCTGGGGCACACGCACCGTCTCCTTCGGCCGCTTCTGGGCCCTCTTGGGGTTCATCTCCAGCGTGGCAAACTTGGAGGTGCCCTCCTGCCGGGTTGAGCATGGGGTCAGCGAGGCCTTCTCCCCTTCGCCCCCACGTGCACCCAGATCGGTCCAGACACTCAGGCCCCCGCCGGGGCATGCCCGGGCCCTCCCCTGGGGCGTGAGCTCAGACAGGGGGTGGCAGGCCCACCCAGGGACAGGTGGGACTGGCAGGGAAGGGATGCCCACCTCACCTTGACCAGCAGCTCTCGGCTCAGCGAGTAGTTGTTCTCGTCCGAGAAGATCTCCGACAGCTTCTGGAAGACCCGCACGCTGTCCCTGGAGGGGACGGGAGGTGTGAGCGGGGAGCCCACGGCCTGAAGGGCCCCGTGCGCCTGGGAGGGGCCTCTCGGGTGGGTCACCCGGGCCCTGGGCCCAGGTCTGCCGAGCGGCTCTGTGGGGACCAGTTTTGACTTTGTGCGGCTCAGTCCAGGGCCTGACGGAGAGGGAAACCGAGTCCTGAGGCAGGAGCGCTGTCCGCAGGCTCACGGCGGCGGGCCCGGCCCCCCGGCCTGCCCACCTGGACACCTCCTCCCATGTCTTCTTCAGCCGGTGGATGGAGTTGCTCTGCAGCGCGGAGAGGATGGCGTAGAGGGACGAGAAGTTCTTGAGGACCCGGCACTCCTGGGGGGAGGGGAGCAGCGTGAGGGGGGCTGGCACCTCCCTTCTGGGGGAGCCCCCCTCCCAGGGGACCTGCGCCCCGCGACTATCGCCGGGGGGCCTGAGCTCAACCCAGGAAGGAACCTGAGGAGGAAGGGAGGGGCCGGGGGAGGGAGAGATAAGTCAAGGCCACGGAGGCCCTGACACAGGAGGGGGGCGGGGGCGGCAGAGGCTCCGTACCCTGGCCACCTCGATCCAGTGCTCCAGCACCCGGGCCCGGGCCCGGGCCGAGGCGCTGCGGCCCCCCAGGCAGGTGGTGATGACGCAGTTGGCCACGCTGTTGAACTGGCTGACGGTGGCCCGCACGGTGGGGGCCAGGTGCTCTCTGCCCTTCTTGTCGCGCTGGGACCAGATGGAGCCCAGGCAGTGGTAGGGCACCACCTTCTTGAACAGCTCCTGGGGGGCAGGGCGTGTCACTGGGGCCCACACCCCCAGGGCAGCACCGGCCCCCCCAGTCCCGGCAGGGCCCCCCCAGTCCCGGCAGAGCCTGGTCTGTGCTGGGACCCTGGAGGCAGAGCCCGCGGGTCTGGTTCCCGGCCCCTGTGGGCACCGGCACGCGAGGGGCCGGCATGGAAGGCTGGCGGGGAGGGTGGCGTCCTCACCAGCCGCCCTCCCTGACGGCGGGCACCATCCCACGGGGCACCGGGGAGCCTGGGCCCTCACAGCTGTGCCCCTCCCTCCCAGTCCAGGTGCTCACCCACGTGGGCCCACCTCAGGCGCCGGGTAAGTGCTGAGGCTGCGAGGCCCCCTGGACAGATGGGGGAGCTCCGCCCCCACCAAACAGCAGGCTCCCCAACTTCCTCCTGTCCCCCTTCCTCTGACCCTCAGTCACTCTGCAGAGAGGGGGTGGGGTGGGGTCCCAGGGAAACGGAGGCCTTGGGGACAGGAAGCTTGCCCGGGGCACACGGTTTGCGGTGCCGGGGCTGGGGCTGGGGCTGGGCCAGGGCACCAGCTCTGGACCAGGGCACGCCCGTGTGGGAAGCAGATGCCAGGGGAAGGTGCGCCCTCCAGCCCTCCCCCTGGGCAGAGCTGCTCACCGCGTCCATCAGGGTGAACTGCTCGGCCACCAGGTCGGGAGGGAACGCCAGGAGGTGAGGCCTCTCCTCACGCAGCCCGTTCTCCGCAGCCACCGGCGAAGGCCAGGGGGGCTCCGGCTCCGGGGCGGCTGTGGGAGTGGGTCCCGGGGCTGGCTCTCGCTCTGGAGCTGGCTGGCGGGCGGACTCAGGCTCTCCAGCCGGCACGAGCTCCTGCTCTGAGGCCAGCACCGGGCTGAGCACCAGAGCGGGCGCCGGACTGGGCGCTGGCGCTGGCGCTGGAGCAGGCGCTGGAGCAGGTGCTGGAGCTGAAGGTGGCGAAGGGGCTGGCGATGGGGCTGGAGCTGGCGATGGGGCTGGGGCTGGCGATGGGGCTGGCGATGGGGCTGGAGCTGGCGATGGGGCTGGAGCAGGCGATGGGGCTGGCGATGGGGCTAGAGCTGGCGATGGCGCTGGCTCCTGCTCTGAAGTTGGCACAGGACTGGGCACAGGACTGGGTGCTGGAGCTGGCGCAGGTGAGAGAGCTGTAACAGGAGAGAGGTTCAGCAACACGCCCGCTTTCCCACAACAGACACGCCCCTGCCTGCAGGAGAAGCCTCAGCCCAGGCCGTCCTCCCCGCCCGCAGCCCGGGGGGTGGTCCGAGGCCAGTCGCTGCTCCCGGCCCGCCCCACGCCAGCCTCCGGAGGCTCCTTTGTGCCCAGCACTGACCCCGGCCCCCGCCCCCCTCTCCTCACCCTCCAGCTCGGCCTCGGCGGGCTCCGCGCTCTCCAGCTGGGCCAGGAGCAGGTGCGCGCGGCGCTCCAGGTCCGAGCCCGGCATGTTGAGCTGCACGTAGGCCACCAGCTGCTTGAGGCAGGGGAAGCCCGGTGGCTGGTTGAAGTCCTCCGAGTACTGGTCCAGCCAGGTGCCCAGGATGGAGGAGATGGCGCTGGGCGGGGGGCAGCCGCGTCAAAGGCCGGGCTCCCCCTCCACAAGGCCCTCCCATGGCCCGTGGGGGTGGACTCTGGGCCCGTCCCTGCCCATCCAGAGACCAGTGCCCCCGCCCCCGCCCCCCCCCCCCGGCCCTGGGCTGGCCAGGCAGGGGCAGGCCAGGGGAGCAGGCAGGGAACCCTCCACCGACCATCAGCAACTGTGTGACCACTTCTCCCCCCCCCGAAAGCCTGATCGCCGCCCCCCGTCTATCTCCAGCGCCCCCCCTGGACCGGACGCCCCACAGGCCGGGGGGCTGCCTGCTCCGTCCCGGGCGCCCGGACGGGGACGGGGCCAGCAGGGTGGGCGGGTGTGGGGAGGGCGGTCCTCTCCGGGGGGCTGGCTCTGCTCCCTGGAGCCCAGGGCCCACCCACAGCTCCCCACTCTTTCCCTCCTGCAGGAGCCTGCAGGCCCCAGGCAGCGGGGGCCGGGGTTCTGCCTGCCCGCAGCGGAGGCCCTCGGACCCGGGCGCACTCACTTCCTCAGGCGCTCCTGGGACCCGCCGTCCTCCTGGGCGTAGGGGAGGATGCATCCGTATCTAGAGGAGGCCGTGAGGGCGTCACATCTACGGAACCCGCAGTGCCGGCTGCGGTCACCGGCCCCGCAGCCCGGGGCTTATCTGCCTTTTGCACCCAATTACGTTCCGTGCCCGGAAAAGTGCCAACGGGCACCTCACAGGTGTCCGAGCGGGCCTGGGGCCCCCACCCGCCCCCAGGGCCCTCGGGGAGGGCACCCCCGGACGGAAGCCGGGACCTCTACTCAAACGAGAACTGTTTCACCGCAGGGCACGGGGGCAGAGGGGCGCTTGGGCGGGAGAGTCACGTCGGCCCCGACCGTCCCGACAACCTGGGCGGCTGCTGTGTCCCAGGAGCAGACGGGGGCTCAGAGAGGGCGAGGGTTTTCCCGGAGACGCACAGCGGCGGGGAGGCGGGAGCCGGCTCACCGTTTGAAGAGCAGGTCCAGGACCTGCTGGGTGGTGGTGAAGGTGCGGTAGGTGCACAGGAAGATGGTGACGTAGGACAGGTCGCTGCCCTGGAAGGCGGGCACCAGGTGCTCCACCAGCTTCTCCAGCGTGCCCGCCTTCACCGCGCGCACCTTGCAGGTCTCGTACAGGCTCAGGGCCGACTCGTTTTCACCCTGGGGCGGGCAGAGGAGGGCCGTGTGGGCCGGGGCGGCGGCCGGGACCCCCAGGAGGGTGAGGGCCGGAGCGCAAGTGAGCTCCCACAGGCGCGCAGGGACTTGGGGAAGGAGGCAGGACGTGAGTGTCCCCCCAGAAAAAGGTTCTCATGTTCATTTTTATTTTATTTTATTTTATTTTATTTTATTTTATTTTATATATTTTATTGATTTTGTACAGAGAGGAAGGGAGAGGGATAAAGAGTTAGAAACATCGATGAGAGAGAGTCACCGATCAGCTGCCTCTTGAACACCCTCTACTGGGGATGTGCCCGCAACCAAGGTACATGCCCTTGACCGGAATCGAACCCAGGACCCTTCAGTCCCCAAGCTGACGCTCTATCCATTGAGCCAAACTGGTTTCGGCAGGTTCTCACGTTTAAAAGTCGATCTGAGCCCTGGCCGGTGTCGCTCAGTGGATAGAGCGTTGGCCTGAGGGCTGACGGGTTCCGGGTTTGATTCCCGGTCAGGGCACATGCCTGGGTGGCAGGCTCCATCCCCAGGAGGGGGCATGCAGGCGGCAGCCGATCCATGATTCTCTCTCCTCATTGATGTTTCTCTCTCTCCCTCTCCCTTCCTCTCTGAAGTCAGTAAAAATATATTCTAAAAGTAAAGCCGCTCTGGGGGTGACGGGAGAGGCAGGGCCTGCAGGTCACCTGCGAGCTGAGCAAGGACAGCGCCTCCGGTGGTGAGCGCGTCACCCCGAGCCCCGGCGGCCAGCTGGTCCCGGAGACAAGGGTGCAGGGCCCAGGCCCTGAGCAGCTGGGTCACCGTGGTGACGGCCTCGGCTCCGGCCTGGAGGGGCCACGGGCTGTGCTCGCCGAGAGATCAAGTCACAGGCAAGTGTCCAGAGCGGCCAGCCCCCGCCCCGCCCCCCGTCCTTTTTGGGGTGAAAACAGCCCTTCCTACAAAGTGTGGGGGTTTGAGGCTCGGAGGGGCGGGAGGACCGTCAGGGCAGCACCACGGGCCGGCGGGGAGCAGCAGCCAAAACAGGAAGCGCGGGCCAGACGCACAGACACTCCCCGGCGAGAGGGAGGGCCGGTGGGAAGGGTCCTTTCCGTGACACACACGTGTGTGAGCAGCGGCCGCGCCGGGGCCGGCTGGCGGGGGCCGATCCCTCTGGGAGCTGGTCTGGGGGGCCCGGGGGCGGGAAAGCCTGGGAGGAGGCGGGCGCAGTCCCGGGGCGGCACGTGGAACCCGGGCCTGTCGGCGCCGGGCTGCGCGGCCCCCACACTCACCCCGAGCCGGCGTGGGCCCTTGCCGGCCGCCGGCGGCACCTGCACCTTGCGCAGCGAGATGGAGTAGACAACGCCGTTGACCAGCTCCTCACCGATCTCCTGCGTGGAGCTCTGCAGGGACAGCGCCCGCGGGCGGGGTCAGGGCCCTGCCTTCCGCCGGCGCTGCACCCCGTTCCCCGGGGGGGCCCCCGCAGAGCCACCCACACCTCAGACCCAGCATGAACCGGGCGGCCTGGGCACGGTTCCTCTCCGGACAGCCCCTCGGTCCCGCCCGCTGGGCGGACAAGGCGAGCCCACCCCTCACGGCCCGCTCCTGCCCGGGTGCCCCCAAGACACACAGTGACCGGTCCCCTCGCAGGGGGGCGCTCAGAGGCCAGGAGAGGGGCAGCCTGTCCGAGCCATGTAGCTGCAGGTGAGCGGCGACCTGGGACCCCATGGCCGGCAGCAGCACCCAGGGGGGCACACGGCCCTAGCCACAGCCTGCCCCCCAACCCCAGAGACCCGCAGGATGGCGGCTCCCCGGCCAGGCCTGCAGCCAGCATCACGGGGCCGGGCAGGTGCAGGGCCTCCCCAGGCCACGTGCGTGGCCACTTCCTCCCTGTCTGCGCATGCAGGCCTCGTGCCTCTTGGGCAACAGGATGTCCAGCTCCTTGCCGTCACGTGTTCGGGGACAGGGTGAGGACCAGGACAGGGCTGACGCAGAGGCGGCGGGCCGGGACTCCGGGGGACCCAAAGCCTGGGACCGGCTGGGCCAGGAAGAGGGGTCGTGGCTGCAGCCGGCCCCCGGCAGAGAGGAAGGCCCTTGTTTTCGGAGGCAGCGGCCCTGGCACACGGTCAGCCAGGCCCAGTCGAGGCCACTGAGTCACGGCCGCCCTGGGCCGCACCGCCCTCTCCCGGCCGGCCAGCCCTGTCCCGGGGAGGGTGCACCTCAGGGGGAAGGGGCCTAGGAGTCAGGGTGCCAACCTCCGAGGCTCAGGAGGAGCCGGCGGGAGGTGCCAGCGGGCACCCGGCCAGCAGTCACACGGTCAGGGACAGCAGCGGGACCACGCACAGGTCAGTGCCCCCGGCAGGGTGGGCGTGGACCTCAGAGGAGGCCCGTGCCAAGCGCTGACTCAGCCTGGGCCGCGGACCGCCTGCCCTGCAGCCCGGGCCTGCGGGGGGGCCCTGGGCCGGAACCTGCTGCCGGCATCCCGTATTATAACCGCGGTGCCGGCCCCCGGGGGTCAGGGCCGGCCGGGGCCGGGCCTCTCGCCTCCTGCCCGCCCCGGAGGGCTCTGGGGGGCCCGGGAGCCGTCCTCCGGAAGCCACTTCCTCTGACCAAGGTACCAGCGGGAAAGGGCCGCAATCGGGAAAGGGCCGCAATCGCACTGGCTCCTCCAGGGAGACAGCCAGCCGCTTCCCGGAAGCCAGCAGGGGGCCCTCAGCAGGCTGTCCCCGCAGCATCACTCCCACACCCACCCCCCACCGCCCACGCCCGCCTGGGCCAGCCGACCAGCAAGGAGGGGAATTCCTCTCCTGAGGCAGGAAAACAGAAACAGATGCGCCCATCCTTCCCCACACTCCCCTCGCCCATCCTTCCCCGAACTCCCCTCCGGGCCTGGAGGAGCCCCGGGGGAGGGGCAGACAGGGCTACAGGCGCCGTCAGCCCTGCCCCCCCCCCCGCCCCCCAGCCAGGGCCAGGCCGCCCCCACCTCCCCTCCCACAAAGGCCTGTCCCGCTCCTGGCACTCCAGCCACATCTGGCCCAGCTGGGAGCCACACGGGCCTGCCAGTTTGGAGGCCGGGCAGCACCTGGCTCCCTCCGGGCCGGCCGGGCACAGCGCTCCCGGCCAGGCTCACCGTGGCTCCGCGCCCGCCGTGGGCCTTGCTGCTGGGAGCAGCTGGCTGGGCGGCCTGGGCGTCATGTGATCCCGGAGCCCTTCCCCCACCCCAGAGGCCCCCTCTGCCAGCCGGCGGGGGGGCAGGGCGGGACACTGAGCACACAGGCTGGGCTGGGGGTCACTGCCCCCGTGGAGCTGACCCTGTCGCCCTGTCCTCCCCCGCAGGGACAGCCCTGACCACGGGCATCTCTGAGCGCGGGCACCTGTGAGCCGTCTACCGAGTGGCTGGCACAGGCTCCGGGGGGCATGCAGCCCGGGCCGCGGGGTGGCAGCCTTCTCGGAGGGGCGGGCCCAGGGTGCTGTCCCGGGATCGGTGGGCCAAGCCGAACGCTCCAGGTAGAAGGGGGGGAGGGGGGGGAGCTCGCCGCAGCTTCCGTGCGCACCGGGTCACCACAGTGAGCTGCTGCTTGGGTCCACGAGTCCCCGAGGCAGCCCGCGGCCCTGACCAGCCCCCCAACCCCCAGCACCCAGCCCCTGACTTCCCCACAGCCCCCCAGCCCCCCAGCCCCCAGCCCTCCCCAGCCCCTGGCCTCCCCACAGCCCCCCCAGCACCCAGCCCACCCCACCCCTGGCCTCCCCACAGCCCCCGCAGCCCACCAGCCTCAAAGCCCCCCAGCACCCAGCCCCCCACAGCCCCCCAGCCCACCAGCACCCAGTCCCCCCAGCCCCTGGCCTCCCCACAGCCCCCCAGCCCCCAGCCCCCCCCAGCCCCTGGCCTTCCCATAGCCTCTGATACATGAAGCGCCCCCCACCCCCGAGCCCTGCAGACCCCAGAGCACGGCCCCGCCTGAAGGGCTGACTCCCAGCTCTGCGGGGCCTCCGCCTCGGCCTCAGTGAGCCCGCCTGTGAAATGGGGAGAAGGGCCTCCCTCTAACCAGTCACGGTGGCGGCACGAGGCTCGCGGCCCAGACGGTGCCTGGCACCCGGAAGCGCCCAGGAAGCGGGGCCTGCTGCTGCAGGACGGCTGGCACCCACACAGCCCCCCCCACCCAACCCCCCGCCCAGTGAGGCTGAAACACCTCCCGGGAAACCCAAGGGAGACCTGCCAGGGGCTCCAGAACCCCGAGGGGGCCCAGTCACCCCGAACGTCGGGGGCTGGAGCCAGCAGGCAGCGGGCTGACTCTCCGCCTTCTGCTCAATAGCAGGCGCTCCAGCGGCAGGCGGAGCGAGAGGGACCCAGGAGTTCCAGGGACCAGCCGCATCCGCCGCGGTCAGGACCCCAGGCGCCCGCTGCACAGAGCGGGAGACTGAGGCCCGGAGGACCACGCAGGCAGGGTCCGGGCTGAGGAGAGATCCAGGACGGTTCCAGCCAATGGTCAGCAAACTCATCAGTCCACGGAGCCAAACATCAACAGCACAACGACTGAAATTTCTCTTGAGAGCCACATTTTTTCAACTTAAACTTCTTCTAACGCCTCTTCTTTAAAATAGACTCGCCCAGGCCGTGGTATTTGTGGAAGAGCCACACTCGAGGGGCCAAAGAGCTGCATGTGGCTCTCGAGCCACGGTTTGCCGACCACGGGCCTAGAGCATCAGCCCAGGGCCGGGAGGATGAAGATGTCATTCATGTGTGACCCTGCTGGTGCCTCACGGAGCCCCCGGCACAGATGACCCAGAGGGGGCACAAGGTCAGCCGGTAAGGGTGGGCCACTCTCACAGTGGCACTGCACCCACGGAGGCAGCCTGGGCGGGGACCCTCACAGAGCCTGGTTTCCAGGGCAGCCTTGAAGCTCAGGGATTCCAGAAATTAGAGTTTGGAGGTTGTGCTGAGCCCCAAAGGGGCTGACGCGTCTCCCCAGGAACCCTGACTCCAGCCTGAGCCCAGCTCTTTAACTGCCCCCGAGGGGAGGAGAGACCGACCTGCAGGCTGGCCTGCCCCCTCCCATCCCCCTCCTGCCCATCCTCACGGTCAGGGCCAGTGGGCCCCGGGGCCAGGCCTGCGAGGGGACCTGGCGGGTGACGGCTGAGGAGGAAGGAGGGGGCCCTTGGGGGTGTAGGGAGGCCCTGGCTGAAGGTCCAGTCCCAACAGCAATAGCACGGACACGTGGGCACTTCCTGGGCGCCAGGCCCTGGGCGGGCACACTCGTCCCATCTAATCCTGCCCACACCTCACTGGATGGACGAGGAAGGAGTGGGCGGGACCTCGCCCAGGCCAGGAGCCAGGAAGTGGCCTGTGACTCTCCTGTCCACAGAGACACACCAGGCCACGCGCCCTGGTGGCCGCAGCGGTGGCAGCCTCAGAACAGAGCCTGCCCTGGTCACACGGAGGCGGGAGAGAGACCAGTCGGGGGTGGCAGCCCCAGCGTACCCACACCTCTCCGAGGGGGCGTCCGGGGCCCCCACAGGCCCGAGGTTCAGCTACAAAGAGCCCGGGCAGGACACACACCTGGGCACCCCGCCTGGCGGCTCTGAGGCCATGCCGGGCGCTGCGGGGACTGCCTGTCAGGCCACCTGTCTCCCGTGGTCCTCCCCGGAACCCTCAGCAGAGGCCCCGGTACGGGCCCATTGTACAGAAAGGGAAACCGAGGCCCAGGGCACAGAGCAGGGCAGGCTGCGGGCCAAGCAGCACTCCAGCGGAGCCCAGCCCTCCTGCCAGAGAACAGCACTGCCTGGGGCATGACCAGCAGGCTGTGCCAGCGGCCCGCCTTCGCCTTCGGGGAGGGAAGCACCAGAGCGACGCCCGCACCCGGCTCCCCCCACGCAGCCGGTGCCAGGGCCCCCGCCGCCTGGCGCTCCCTCGCTCCCGGCCCGGCCGCAGGCGTCCACTCCCGGATCCTCGGAAGCACGTTGGGGGCCTCTTCATCTGTGTGTCCGGGCCGGCCAGGCTGGAGGCCACGCCTGGGCAGGGGCCACCGTGCCACGCCAGAGAGCTGCCGGCCACCAGCCAGCAGCCCCTGAACTGCCCACCGGCTCCATCAGGGGCCACGGAGCGCTGGTGCTAAATCCATTCCAATGAGGGCAGGGCCGTACGCCCCATTCCCGGCGGCCCGGCTTCTCCCAGGGCTGACCCCTCCCTCCCTCCCACTCAGGGCTTCCCTGAGCTCTGCACACACAGCCCGCGGGCTCCAGTCTCCCCAGCCGGGCACCGCCCTTCTCCTGCAGCCCCGGAGGAGCAGAGCAGAGGGAACCGGGGGTCCCGGTAAACGGCAGGCAGACACACAGACACAGGTACCTTGGGTCAAGGCCCCGGCAGCTAACCTGAAGCTCTGCATACAGTGTGGTCAGGAGGCCA